AAGAGACTGCAGGATATAGGCTATGTGTGTGTATGTTTATATACATACACACACACACACACACACACACACAGAGAGAGAGAGAGAGAGAGAGAGAGAGAGAGAGAGAGAGAGAGAGAGAGGGAGAGAGGGAGAGTGTGAGTGAGTAAACCAAACAAGCTACAGGCTCTGGGGACAATTGATTATGTAAATTACATCACTTGTTTGAATTGGTTGCTGATCTCTTCTAAATACTTCCCTACTTGATTCATGTTCAATGATCTTAGAACATTCCTATGTATGTTAAAATTATCTGTAATGTTTGCAAATTCTAATGTGATGGTCTCCTTTAGATCATCAGTTTGGCTTATAGGGTATGTCCTGTATACTGCTAATTTATTAAAAATCATCTTCTGTATAATTTCTTTTTACTTTCCTGTAGCTGCAGTAGAAAAACTGGCAATAGAAAAACACTTAATTTACAGGCTAATTAAAAGCCACCCCTACCCATTAATTAGGAAGATCTGAGATACTAACCTACTGATTAAATGTTAAAGTTCTTCTTATGCTTACGATAAATAAGCAATAGTGAGGAAGCTGTGTAGTTGCGTATGCATATGTGCACAGTTGATGCATATATAAATAAGGAGACAGAAAAACATTACAATTTAATCCGGTTTAGAAAGGAAATCCTTTTACAGTGTCAGAACCTAACACATTATTGTGAAATTCTTTCTTCATGAAAATGGAAAACCCACTGGCAGAACAAACTCGAGGCAGAGAGAGAGAGAGAGAAATTGCTAAATTCTCTTTTTTAAATTTCTAAGCCCATGAGCCAAGAAGAGTGCTAAATGTACCACCATCGCTTGAAGTGGCACATAAAACTTTGTTTTAATAAAGGACAAAAAGCTCAAATTGAAAGACGAGAGAGCTACATGAATAGTGTGAAGTTTGTTAAGTCTTAAGAAAGGAACAAACAAGCTGGCACTCAGTCAGCTGTTGATAGGATCTGCAGCTTGAACAATCCCAGCAGATTCCATATTTTACCTCACTTTGATAATCTTACATCAGAGCTGATATCCAGACCCCTATTCAGTTGAGGCTTCTAAAAGAAAATTCTAAAATCTGTTTAATATACAGTGTTCCCCTCATCAGAGGTAACATTTATTCAGCAGATTTAGAGCATTATACATAATGTGAATTGTCTATGCTTGTTAACAGTTAGAATTGTTAACCTACAATCAGAAATGGTTAACATTTCAAAAGTTATCATCAGCAATCGTACCAGGTTGTATTTAGTTGATTATGTCAGCAGCCACTGAGGAACTGACGATTCAGATGAAATATAATTTTCTCAATTAACGCTTAATGGACAACACCATGTACAATGACTGAAAACCTATATGGCTCATTGCAAATTCTCAAAATAGTGACATTTCCAAAATTCTAACTCGTAACAGTAACAATGATTTTCAATTCAATCAGATATCAAATGCTTTGCAAACCCTGCTTAAAAATTACCTGCTCAGCATAAACAACTGTGCACCTGAACTCCAATCTGAGGTAAAACCAAGGTGGGACACCTGAAACCTCCCTTGGCACCATATAAAGAGGATAATTCTGTATGTAAACTGTTTTTCTGGGGGGCACTGAGGAAATTTAAGGATAAAATTCAATAAAATCTTTAAGTTACTAGGCAGGATTTACTGAATTCCCATGCAAAACAGAAAGTATAACTGTGCCCCTAGGCTCTTTTATGACTCATGGACTTCAACTCCCAGAATTCCTGAGCCAGCCAAGTCCACAAGTCATAAAAGAGCCAAGGTTGCCTACCCCCGCCCTAGACTGAAAATAATGCCCAAACCTGGTTAAAGCTGATGAAGTCAACATGTAGAGTTTAAATTGGATGCTTACATCCATAGCTCATTTCCTTAAAAGTTGTGCGGTATTTTATCGCACGTCATTATAAAGTTACAGATTGCTTACTAAGTTTCTTATTGCAATTGGCAGCAGAAATTCAGTTGATTAGGTCCATGGGTTTGGTTCAGGGAATACCTGTGGTGGGAAAAACATTTGGGAAGTTACGTTAAGCAGCAAATTCATTACCAAGTAAGAATATAGCCAGATTTCCCTAGATTCATGCCAAGCCTTATGTTTCTGCCAATCCAGAATACAGTATAGAGAATGCAAGCCAAACTGTTAAGTCAGCCTTTGTCTAACAGTAGCTTGCAAACTGCTTTCATGGGATATATTCTGCCCAAATGTATTTTCCTCTGAAGGAAAGGAAACAAAAACTTTGATGCCAGGTTGTACATTTCCAGGAGCTCACAACTGTTGAGTGAGTTGTGCATATGGAGGTCTATGATGTAAGCATGAGTAGGATACTGAATCATTATGTAATAAATGAGATTCTACCATTAGAATTTACATCTCAGAGAGGAGAGAATGAAACCTGATCATCTGGAAGTAAATTTTCTCATTCACTCCATTGCTAAAATCTACCAGATGATTGATGTGAGTTGAGGTCTCTTAACCTTGTATTTCCTAAAAACAACTCTCTCAAATAAGAAATTTGGCTTGCTCTTCTGATCTTCAGAGAAAATCACTACGCATCCAAATTATATAGATGACATTAGATAAAAGTTGATCGTTTAAAGAAAAAACTTTCCCCAAACTTTTTGTCCTTTCATTGTTTTAAAAGCTTGCTTTTATACTTTTTGATCTTTACTCTGCAGACAATTGTTTTAGCTTTCATTCCATGGTTTTTAAGTTCCATTTGAGGAATTACCTCCCAACCTTTGGGGATTCAGCTACCTGTCAACCAAATATGTACAGAAATGCAAACTATGACATCAGTACTATTAATTTCATGGCATACGATGCTTCTCCTGTCCAATTCTAGGACAAGTGTGCGATAGAGGACACAGTGCTTATCTCCGTTTCTTGGCCGAGGGAGCCAGCAGTCCGAAGACAATTTCTGTGATCATGTGGCCAGCATGGCTATATGCCAAAGGCACATGGAAGCTGTTACCTTCCCATCGAAGTGCTATCTATTAATCTACTTGCATTTGCATTTGCTTTCAAAGTGCTAGGCGGCAGGAGCTGGAGCAAGTTAACAGGAGCTCATCCCATTGTGCGGAGCTCAAACCCAGGCTTGTCAGTTCTCCAGCTGACAAGCTCAGTGTCTTTAACCACTGAGCTATTGTGCTTCCGATTATCGTGATGCAATTTCATAGATGCTAGGTTATGTAACCTACCTGTAATTTATAGATTCCTGTACAAGACATCCTGGAATCTCATTGTAGTTTGTAACCTTTCTAGCTTTTTAAAATTCCACTATACACTGTCACTGCTAAAAGCAGTGGGGGAAAGTTTTTGGATTTTTGGGGGGATTCTTATGAGGTTAAGACACAATTTCACTTTTGGAATGAAAACACTGCTCCAAATCATGGAGAGGAGAATGCGCATGCAAAACCTATGTTAAGGCTTGCCTGTACCTGTTTTAAGTGAAAACCGACATCTTTAATTTTACAGATGTACTGAATGTACTACGTTGCACATTTCTGCAAAAACCCAGCTCGTGTCATGACTTCTATCACAATAGAAGAGATCACAATAGGAATTTACCTAGAACAAAATGGCTAGAAAGCAAGCTCCTTTACTCAAGTTCTTTTATCTCAATCCATCAAAGTTGAATTATGGTGCATTTTCACTTTGTATATACAAAATATCTGAGCATGAGGAATAGAAAATATTTCTGGGATAATTAATAATTATCCCTATCTCAAATGAATTTTGAACATAGCGAGTTCCGCTTTAAATTCAGTGCATATAAAGTTCTATTTCATATAACCCTTCATTAAGATAATTTATCCCTTAAAGTCTTTTCTCTCCATATGGAAAGATAATTTCTATGATTTTCATAATTAATTAAAAGTAAATACAGCTTGGAGTAAATCTAGGTTGCAGAAATAGGCAAATTCTGGATTCTAACATTTTCTCCATTGGCAGACTCTTTCCAGGTTGAGCTTTCTTATTCTTATCAGTGATATACAAACTTTTGTTTTTCTCACAAGGGTTAGAGTTACACAATCTATGTAAACCCATGCCATCTTCAAAAAAAGCTTAATTTCTTAGTGTCATCCATCAACACTGGATGCCAACCAATGAGCAGACAAGAATGCAGGTTGCGCCAATGTGCTCTTGGAATGAGGCGAATGTTGATCAGAAAATGAAAAATAAAAAGGATGTTTTACATTAGCTAAACAGTTGAGTTTAAGGTTGCTGTTTTTATTTTAACAGCTGCTAAAATGATACACTTCACAAACTTAATCAATTGACTTTTTCATTATAATTTCAAGAAGAGATCATAATATCTATTTTAAGTTAGTTCTTTTAGAATGGTATATATCGGGGTATCAAACTGACGGCCCGTGGGCTGGATGCGTCACGAGGAAACCGCACCCACCTCATTGCCGGCAATGGGGAAAAAGCTCCGATACGTCGCGTGACATCACGTGATGTCACAAGTTTGACATGTCTGGTATATATGTTTTAATGCAAATCTGGTGCAGGGCATCCAAAGCCATTTAGGAGTGGGTGACATATACATGGATAAAATGCGTATAAATTAGAGCTGTCTGCTGGATTCTATGACTTGATCTGATATCCCTTGAAATGTTACTCTTTCTTCATACAGCAGCCCCAAGTACTAATTCTTCACAAAATAATTCATCCTAGGAAAAAAAAGTGTTTTTTTAAAAAAATTTTCTTCTGCTATAGGATTACTGAATAGGAATACTGAGTAGAAAACTTACCCTGCATGTAGGTATTAAGATTTGATAGTGCATTAAGACACCAAGATGCTGTGGCATATCTAAGCCATTTAGATTTAGCTTTTGAGGGACGGCTCCTGCACTAGATAGTTTGAATTTAACTTAAAAACCTAGGGGGGAAAAATAAACCCAGGGAAGTACGTTCAAAAGAAACATGAACTATTAAAAGACCTCTGCACCACAGGATTCTTTCCCTTCAACTTTTGTTTATTGATGTACTGAACATGAAAAAGTACAAAGGATCCAAACACAAAAGAAAACATGTACAGCCTCTTTTAAATACTCAACAGAATATATTTTTCTACTCCAACAGATGTGAATTAAGTCATACTGTACAACTTCAAATAAATACCAGCCTTACATTTTATTAAGTGCTCTGTTAAACAGTGTAAAGTGAAACCTGATAGACATGCCTTCTCCCCAATGCCTTTTGTTCTTGCTACCCTAGAATATAGTAGCAGAGAGTATAGCTATGTTTTCCCCTCCCCACAATGGATCTCTTTATTGTTATTATTATTACTATTGTTCTTTTCCAAAGCAGAGTGTTTGTGTTAGTACAGAACAATTGCTCAACGCACCTCAAGTGAACGTCTTTCAGAAAGTCAATCAATTTGAACAGCATTGAATGGGGTCTAGCATGAACAGTCGCTTTCACTTTAGCACTCTTCTTCCAACAGTATTATGTATTGTACTATACTGAAAATTTATAACTACGATTTTTTTAAAAAAAGAAATAATCAAAAAAAGCAACTGCAAAGATCATGTACAAGTATGTTATGCATAGCACATTGCTTGTTCTAAGGGGAAGCATGTGAGCATCTCAGTTTATACAAAAAGCAGGACGTAACTATATAGTTGTCAGGGCATCCCGGTGAAGGCACAGCAGCCTTCAGCTTTTTAAAAATTTATTATAAGCTAGATGCTAATCAGAAAATATTTGTACTTTTTTGACCTTAAATTTCTTCCATACATGGTAAAGACTTTATTATTTCCCCAAATAAGTGATTTTAAGCATCATACAAAGTTAAATTTCAATAGCATACAGGTATTTATGATTCTGGTATGAAAAATGTAAGGAATTTGTTCAAAACCTATGGTTATACTCATTTTTTTACCACAAACATATTTATAAACAAAAAAGTAGCATCACCATAAACAGCTGAAGCTAGACTATCTACAGACAAAATTTGCAACGTATCTGATCCACTGTAAATTCAAGTCCTCAGGACAACAAAAATGAATAAGCAGACCTCAAGTAACAATCTTAATGCCATTTACAAAGAAAAAAAAATACAAAAACATTTGAACATCACTTGGCATGTTAAGTAAAGAAAATAAAAAACCAGAAGAAAACTCGAAGTATTTAGCTGAAAAGAGGTTCATCAACAAAAGATCTTATTTACATTACACAAAGCTCAGGTGTTAGCCTTGAACGTAACTTTCAAAATACCTTCAAATATATCCAATGCAAGACTGTTTCTTCCTGGTCTGCCACTATGCAAACCATGTGCAAACATCTTTTTTTTTTTTCTTTAAGACAAAACAATTCTTCAAACAATACTGCAAGTACATCACTAAACACCATGAGCTCTATCTGAAGGGAATTCTATAGGAAGAACAGATTTTTCCCCCATCTCAGTTAATTTAAATTTCTTGCCTGCTCTTATATACTTTTAAATTTTCTTCTGTTTCAAAATCACAAGTTTAATGTGAGCCATCTATCACATAGTAACCAGGATGTTCAGAGATTGCACCAACGATTATAAAACCAAAACCAGCAGTGCTTTCTCCCAGTGATTCCATTTCTTGAGTAACAAAGATCTCTTAAAGAATTTCTACATCATAAACCGCTCTAAAGTGTTTTCCCCCAACCACTGCAAATTTCCTGGTAAGTTTTAAAAGCTCACTAGGTGTCATATGAAGAGATTTCTCAAAGTATTCAAGTCAAAATATTTGTTCCAGGACCTGTAAAAAGTTTCTCCAAATTTTCTCTTTTTTATAAAAATAGATGCTTTGTTTTTTTTTTTTAAACCCACATCAAAGAGGCTCTTATCTCTTTGGCAAGGTACAGCTTTACGAAAAGTTCTCCATTAATCTTACAATAGGCTTTTATAATGCACCACCCCCCTTCCCCAACCCAAATCATAATTACAAAATAAATATTCTTAAACTTTATAAATAAAAATGTAAACTTCAAAACACTTCTTGAACAGACTAAACAGCAAGGCATTAAAGTGTAACTCAAACACAACATAAGGTTAACTAACTCAGGAATTTTAACACAAAGCCTCAATATCTACTCACAGGTTCAAGGCAGTCGTGTAAAAGAAAATTTCTTCCCTTAGCTCAAACATTTTTTAAAAGGTCCACCTTCTTCAAAGAAGGCAATAGAATGCATTGTGACAGGTAAAAACCCTGTACCTCTTGTCCATATTCAAACATAAGATATTTAAGAAGTTTAATTCAAATACTAGCAATAAAAAATCTCGCAATATTTCTTAGGATGCTAGTCTGTTATTCCCCCATCTCAACACTGACTTACAAAGACATTTACTAATGTATAAAGTTTCTTTTAACTTGCCTTTGTCGAATAGTTTTCAAATATAAATTGGGCTGAGGACACCTCATTAGGCTTTGTGCGTTTTGTTTGTTTTAAAGGAAACCTGCAAGACTCTGTCTCCAAGGCGGTATCCATTCAGGCTGGCTATTGCCATGGCGGCTTCGTCATAGTTTGTCATAGTCACAAATCCAAAACCTTTGCACTTGTTTGTGTTGAAGTCGCGGATAACCTTCACATTTGTCACGGCTCCGAAGGGTCCGAACATTTGCCACAGGATGCTCTCATCTGCATCAGGAGCTAAATTGTACACAAAAATGCACCATCCGGTTCCCGCATGTCCTGGGATATTTATCCCAGCCAAACTGGTCATTCCGTCAATGGTCATTGGAGAAAACCTGCTAATCAATGTAAAAGGGTAAAAAAAAAAAAAGACAAAATACTTTTTTTAGAAAAAAACTTTTTCAAGATTAGAACGAAACCTATTTTTATATATCAACATGCTTTAAGAAACTTAAACCAAGTGCCTTTCTGCCTACATTTTGTGGATCAATTGTTTCTTCCTTTAAGTATGCTTTTTTGTTACATTATTTACAGACATATACAAAGGCAGTCTGGCGTAATGGTTAAGATGCTGACCTAGAAACCAAGAGACTCCAAGTTCTAGTTCTGCCTTAGACATGAAAGCCAGGTGAGTGACTTTGAGCGAGTCTCCTTCAGCCCAACCCACCTCAGAGGACAGTTGTGTGGAAAACAGGAAGAAGAAGGATTATTAAGTCTGTTTGCTACCTTGAGTTATTTATGAAGAAATGAAGGCAGGATAAAAATATTTTTGTTTTTTAAAAAAGCACTTGATTAATGTTATAGTGCCATTTGAGCAAAGGTATGTGCTACTATGCAACTTGAAGAAAATACTAATTTACTGTGAATAATAAAATATAGTTCTCACGATGCCCTGTAGTAAGTCTTTCTCAAGTCAGATTATTCTGCTTTCTGCCTGGGCTAGGGGTAAGCTGACTAATTCAATTACTTTCAACGCTGACAGAAAAACAAATTATAGTCTGCTATTAGAAAGTCTAAGGAATATTTGTGATTGCCACGTTTGGAATGTGGTTGAATAAGGATCTTGAGAATTTGCTTTTTGTGCATTGAGAATAATGCAAACAAAAAGATTATATAAAAACCAAGCAATTTGATTTTAACAACTAGCTTTGTTCAAAACTCTAGATCTATTACCAGATGAGTGAATTTCTCCCCTCCCTCCCAGATGGTTCCAAATCCCAGTTCTCCAGAGCATGGGCTGCAGAGAGAGGCTCTGTTGAAAGAATCCATCTACTAAAAATTCATGTTGTGCTTTTAGACCAAACAGCGAGCCTGGCTGAGGAATTCTGCGAATTGAAGTCCACAAGTCATAAAAGGACCAAGTTTGAAGACTCCTATTTTAGACAGAACCAGACAGAAATCTCTATTGTTTTCACTAAGGATTGGCTAGTATTGTTTTCTTTTAAAAAGAGAAAGGAACAGTAAGATTTTTGCTTATACTGCTAGTATATTCAATTTCAGGAATCTTTTGTTTAGTTCCTTTAAAAAAAAAACTTAGTAAAATACTAACTCATCTTTGTGTAAAATATTTTTTTTCCAAAGGACAATTATATTAACAATGGTAAAAAAGTAAAAAGCACATTGTTGCCTTCAATTATTCACATTCAGTCTTTATTGTGTTGCTTCACCATGCTCAACATTGGATTTAGCAAATTATTTAACGCAACTGAACAGAAATTCAACAGGATTTGTTCAACAGGAAAAAAAAATAGCTTCAAGATTTATGATATTACATCTAGCTTTTGGTTTATGTTGTGTATCTCCCTGAGTCGTCTTTGGCAAATGGGTGGCTATATAAATTTGATAAGAGAAATAAATAAATCCTACATGAAACATACTTATAGAATTATTGTAACCCTTCTTAACCTTTTTAGGTAATTCAACATACTTGATATGGTATCTTTAATGTTGCTCCATATCTGTACCTGCTTGTTGTACAGAAAGGTGACAAAACAAAAAACAAAAACTGGTGGGGGCCTCTTAATTGTTAAAAGGTCCTTTAAGTATATAAGACCTCTGAATTCTTTCAAAGTGAAAGACAAATACAAAGAATTCCAAAATAAATCATTTAAATGGCAGGTACTGGATGCCCTAAACAAGGCTAGAAAGCTGATAAAGTGATAAATGGAAATGAATCATTGTTTAACCTCTGTACATGCAAAAATCACTCAAGATAAATCAAACACATGAAGTACAAATACTTTTAGTTCAAACAATAAGTTATTAGTAAAGTTAATTATGTATCTAACACAATTTGTCATTACCTCTTTACTCCGTAAGCCATATTGAGCAGATTGTCCAACCTGCAAAACACATTTAGCAAAGGTTTATTTAGCTTTTCAATATTTTACTTTGATTATGTTATGTTGCTAGATTTTCTGAACTATACTGCATGCAAAATTGTAGTTGTGCGATGATAATCCACTGGCATTGCTTGAATTTTGCTGAAGAGATACTGTCCACAAATTCTCATAAATACAGCTTCACTTCAGTTGACATTAGATAATTATGTAAAAAAAAGGCACTGAGGCTCAGCCTTTTAATTCTAGATGAGCAAGGCCATTAGGCATGTCTGAAGTGATACTATATACACATTAACATAGTTCAGATACTATATTTAATATAGTGATCCTTTTAGAAATATGAGCATCAAAGACTAAACAATTTTGTCAATATTTTCATGCCTTTCTTTGAAAACTCATTGGGATGAATGAATGAAAAGAATGTCTGTGTGTGCCAGAGACATTATTCTGCAGAAATTCTACTAGCAATTTTATTTCTCAAGATTTTAGATTATGATTGTATGATTACAAACTTATCTTGATGCTCTGTGCATTTTAAGCTGTTAAGATTTAGCCTTGGTTAAATGCTAACTGCCAGAAACTGCAGCTATGTTAGAAATCTATCATTTCAGCATAAAGGAACAAAGGAATCCCAATTTTCTTTTTCTTTTTTTTTTTTAGTCTTAACCTTTGATTCATCACAAAGTATGAGCTTCTTACAAACCAAATTGTTAGTTGTTTGCTCCAATGTAATGCAAATGATGCTTAAGGTAATGCTGGATTTAAATAATTGCTGAGAAATCAAAGCAAGTCAGGCTATAATATTAACTATATACTATGACATTAACTTTTATAATATTAACTATATTCCTCAGTTAATTAAGATGATTTTCTTTATGAGAAGAGAACATATGCGTATGCATTGCAAAACTGGCTCCCATACTGTCTTTTAAATTCACATCAAGAGACATTTTAGATGTGTCCTGGGTTCAGTATTTTTCCCACTTCCAGAAAAACTACAATGTGCAACTTACAAGAGAATGCAAATATATGCAGCCTTTCGGAACGAAAAGAGCATCTGGAGTTGCAGTGCTTGGTTAGACTAGACCAGCGGCTCCCAACCTTTGCTATACCACGGACCCCTAGAACGCTTCTGATATATTCTCGCACCCCTTACAAAAGTTCGAAATAACGGCAATGAATTATGCGCATACACTATAATTTTGAAAACCCAAGTTTTCGCACCCCCTGGAATACTATCTTGCACCTCCAGGGCGTTGGGAGCAGCCCCAGTTGGGAACCCTTGGAGTAGACTGTGGGCTGTTATATTTAAAGTTGCTGCTAATTTTTCTTTTGTCTAAACTTTGTATGCTTCAACTGTTATTGTCCTTTAAAACACCCTTATTGGGAGGGGTGTTACATCAGAAAGAAATATTGTAAGTTCAACGATCTGTCAGTATCCTGATTCTGAGAATCAGAAGCATAAGTAAGCAACCTAGTTTACGACAATCGAATGGGCAATGCCAAATTTTTATTATATAAACCGAAACCTTTCCGTCATGAACACTCACACGGATGCTGAGTCATTGCTTTCAAAACTAGAACAGCTTTAGCTATGACATAAAATGTGGTGACTTGAAATTCCTAGGATATTGGATATTAAAAAATATGGTATATACACTCAAACAATTCTCCTCATTTAGGAATCTTATCTTCATTTTTATTTCTGGCTACAGTCTTCCAAATGATAAAGAAATTGTATCAAGACTTCAAATATCCTGATACGGCATTATTCCACCCCAAGCTATGCTTTCTATGTGGTCATCACCATCTTCACCATTCCAGAAAAGAATTCACATATCTAAGAGATGTAAAATGATTTAAAATTTTGCTTCTGGCTTTGTTAACATGACTGGGGGGGGAGGGGGGAGGAAGAGATAATCTAATATTAAGATTGTTCCATATTACTTATCAACTGATATTCTTTAAACAAATTTCCTTTGTTTAAAGAATAATGGGGAGAAACAAATATGGAATATTTTAGCTTACTTTTCAGTCAACAATATATCACATGATTTTTGCAGTTAAACTTCCTAATAACAAATTCCAAATTTGGGTATAACTTCTGCAATCTTCAGATATTGATAATTAGGTATGATTTATTTTACTTAATTAGAGGCAAATATGCAGCCCAATAAAACACTGTCTTATTTTTATAACAGGCTATTTTGGTCGGTCATTAAAAGTCTTCCATTCCCTAAAACTAAAATATGTTGTTAACTATGAATTAACAATTGCATGAAAGGGAGAGAAGACCACTGATGATGGAGACGGTTTCTTTTCTTTTTTAAAGTTGACTGAAAAATATGTGAGAAGTACTGATATTTATAAATGGCCTGTGTGTTTTACAGATTTCCAAACCACGTTGTAAATTGATAGGGTTATTTAAAAATTCATGTTTCAGATAATACTTGCACATAAACCAGCTCAAAAAATATCCATAAGATGGACTCAAATTATTTATTGAATGCACCAGAAATATGTATTTTACCAGTTTAGGGTCAAAGATGCAAATTTTAACAATCAGGTAACTGGCAATATTTATGGTTTTAATGTAAATTCTAATAATTACCAATTTCACCTGGGATCGTTGGCATGTGAACTCAAGTCTTTCAACAAGTTGAATACAAAATATCACACATTTAGATTCCTCTAGAGTCTAGAGAATAAAGAATGGGAAGATGGAATACTGCTTTTGAATTACTATATTGTAATTCTTTTAAGACCAAGTCTTTACCTCTTACAATATTTTAGTGAGGATAGAGCATTATTTTGCTTTAACAATAGCACTGCTTCCATTTAATTACTTCCACTTTCATGAGCTTTATTGTAAAATATACAGCTTCTAACAAAACTGTCAATTTACATCCATTACCAAGTAGTTAAGAATTGTATAGAAGTTGCCATTAAAATAGTCTCCATCTATCTATCTTTGATTGTGAATAACAGTGGCCAATAATTTGAATCCAACCATCTCTATATCCTGGATGTTAAGCAAGTAGAAGTGATTGAACAGCAAACCAGCACAGATGAAATATGAATTAACATTAAAATAAAATATGTATAATATGTATAAAAGAGCCGAGGTGGCGCAGCAGTTAGAGTGCAGTACTGCAGGCCACTTTAGCTGACTGTGTTCAGCAGGTCAGCGGTTCAAATCTCACCGGCTCAAGGTTGACTCAGCCTTCCATCCTTCCGGGGTAGGTAAAATGAGGACCCAGATTGTTGGGGGCAATGTAAATATATATATACATTGCTTACTGGTGTACACCGCTTAGAGAGTGCTTGCACTTAAAGCGGTATATAAGTCTCATAAATAAATAAATAAATAAATAAGTAAGTAAGTAAATAAATAAAGGTAGTTCCATTAAAAAAATCACAGATTGACTTGCAGGTTTCAGTTGCTCCTGGATTTCCAAATCAGATCCAGGCACGAAAATGTACAGATTTAAAAAATAATAATAATTATGTTTGTACAAGTTTATATATTAATTTGTTTCCCAATGTGAAATAAGGAACATGAAAACAATAGCATTTTTCAATGTCATATGTTTAGAAGTGGAATCTAGTCAGACATTAAAATGCTGCTTTGGTTGTTGCACATAATTAGCCTGCTAAGATTAGCTGACATTTTGGCATCTTTATGCAGCTGCAGATAGATATGCAATGGCATGAGTTAAAACTTCTGATTTAATATTATTGGTTTCTGTAACTCAGAATGAGGTTTTCACAGGACTGGATTCAGGACTATCTATCTATCTATCTATCTATCTATCTATCTATCTATCTATCTATCTATCTATCTATCTATCTATCTATCTATCTATCTATCTATCTATCTATCTATCTATCTATTTAATTTTATTTATATGCCGCCCAATCCCAAAGGACTCAGGAGCTCTGCTCCTTCTCTTAAATTCCCTAGAAGGAACTTAACATTCTGACCAAAAAAAAAAAAGTGATGAAATTTCCTTGTCTTTTTGTCAGGAAGTAAAATAAATGTAATATAAAGCTCCAGTAATGAAATACTGGAAAATACCCCCAAAGCAGGGGCAATAACAAAAGAATAACAAATTTCAGCACTCTGCCCTCTGCTGACTGCCTTGCATTATTGCTCCCCTGTTCATTGTCATTCTCAATAGTAATTTCCCAAAAAACATCTCTGCCCACAAAAAAGGTTAGCTCTCCTGCCAAAGCTAACCTGAACCACAGCTTTATTAAACTATCAACACTCGCAATAGGAATCCTCTCCAAGGAATCATTTTCATTTACTAGAAGAGACCAACATATTCTATCAAGCATTTTAGTGATTGTTCTCACCATGCTGGTAGAAAACCTAGAAGGCCCAGAGTCTGAAATAGCAATAGCACTTAGATTTATATAGTGCTTTACAGCCCTCTCTAAGTGGTTTACAGAGTCAGCATATTGCCCTCAACAAACCGGGTCCTAATTTTACTGACCTCAGAAGGATGGAAGGCTCAGTCAACCCTGAGACAGTGAGAATCGAACTGCCAAACTGCTGGCAGCCAGCAGTCAGCCAAAGTAGCCTGCAGTACTGCATTCTAACCACTGCACCACCACGGCAATTTTGGGATGATATATGTATTTTAATAAGAAGGCTATCCATTAAAGCCTCTAGTACAGTGGTTCTCAACCTGTGAGTCGGGACCCCATTTGGGGTTGAATGACCATTTCACGGGGGTCGCCAAACAACGCAGTCCGCCATTTTTTTCCCCTTTTCCTTAGCTGTGCTACTCCCTTTTATTCTATTGGTTAGAATAGAATGGACTCCCTTGAATAGAGTCTAATTCTATTGGCTTTCAAAAGCCAACAGGAATTGTCCAGGCTGTCTCTGCCCTGCTGAGCCTGCCAAAAGTCCCATTCTGCAAACGGTGCTGCACCAGTTGAGTAGTCCTCGACTTACGACCGGTTGAGTAGTCCTCGACTTACGACCGGTTGGGGATCGCGGCATTAAAAAGGTTGAGAACCACTGCTCTAGTACAATTCACACACCTCTAATGAAAAGATGAAGCATACTTCCAAGCTTCAAACTCTGAGAAACTTTCTCTGCATTATCAAGCCCATACACTAAGATGACTATCCTTCAGGGAACAGAGACAGAAAAACTCATATTCTTCGACTCAGCTGTCTCACTTCAATACAAGACTTGAAAATTTCACCTTCTGTATGGCTTTATATTACTTGGGAAAGTGAAATTGAATTAAATCATAGAAAGTTTAATTGAAATAAGTATTCAAAGATATATTCACTCCTATGATTGGCTTTATGGTGCAATTCATCACTAAAGACTGTTTTCTGAAAAAAAATATCCAAATCAACACATTTATCTTGTGTGTACGGGTAGCCGTTGACTGACCAGTTTGTTTAGTGACTGTTTGAAGTTACAACAGCGCTGAAAAAAATGACTGTTTTTCACACTTATGATCTTTGCCGCATTCCCATGGTCACATGATCAAAATTCAGACAGTTGGCCACAGACTCATATTTATGAGAGTTGCAATGTCCCAGGGTCACCTTTTGTAAACTTCTTACAAGCAAAGTCAATTTGGAAGTTAGATTCATTTAACTGTGTTACTAAGTTAACAATTGCAGGATTCACTTAACAATTGTGGCAGGAAAGGTCGTTTAGCCATTGTCTCACCTAGCACCAGAAATTTTGTGCTCAATTGTGTTCGTAAGTCGAGGACTACCTGCAAAACCTTTGCGGTAACTTACGACTTGTGGAGATACTTTGGAGTGTTCTGAAGATCCAGACTTTACTTTTTAAAATGGCATTAAGAATACAATCTCCTAACAACAGTTGTGGACTCAAGCTAGAGTTGCTATTTTATGTGAGATTCTGCTTAAAGTTTGGTGCTTATCAGAGCCTGTGCTAAATAAAAAGAGATTTTCAAAGTATGCATATACTTTCCCAGCCTCTGAAGCTTACAAGTTTTCTTTAATTGCTTTTAAAACACTTTAACTAACAACAATAGTAGGAGTACAGCAATGGCAAGCATAATGTACTTGCATTACACCAGCACTGAATCTAAGTATCAGATACTCATCAAAGACAACTGCAAAGATAAGGTCTTTAAAACCTATTCAAACACATAAACACACACACTCGTCTACATTTTGTGTGTGCAACTGTGCCTTTCTAAATTTCACGGAGGAACCTGAACAATTCCTAAGTTGATATGAACTGAGCAAGCAACACCCTTCACGTTTGGAATACATGGCCCTTTTATTTGACAAAACACCACAGCAAAACAGATTAAAAACTCAAGCAATCCTTAATGCCCGATGTTAAAATTGCTCTGGACAACATGATTTAATGTGCTGTTTTAAGAAGAAAATGAAAAGAAATGCAGTTCAGTCTATTTTAATGGAATGGAAAGATATGGGCAAAAATGAATGGCAACCTTGGGATTCGTTCCTCCATTTCCAAACCTGTACGCACATTCCAGCATTCAGGGCCTAATCCCCCTTCAGAGTCATCTACCACCACTGCTGATATAATGAATATCCTTTAGAGATAAGCCGGCCCATGGCATTGTGAGAAAGATCTAGTCAGGTTTTTTTAAGGCCACTGGAGATTGCGTGCCCCAACCCTGGCACCAGCTATTTCTGCAAAAGTTCATTTACCTCTTTTTTTCATGTCAGTGCAGCAACAATTCCCCAGTGGCCTTACTTCAGGCACGAGGCAATCTGGAATTCTTCTTCTGACCATTTCTAACTCTGCCCTGGCACTCAGTTCTGGAGCAGGCAGTCTGCCTATGGAGAAAGGGCAAGTCTACTTTTATTCAATATTCAGCGGCTTCACAGAATATATATCCTTTGAACAACAAAAACAGAGCAGAAACTGAATACTCCAGAAATCCACTGAATACTGAATAAAAACATTTGAGGGGTTTTTTTTTTTCTCCCCTGCTCCAACAGAAGGGTTCGCTAGAATGGATGTTTTTCTGGGTGAACAAATTTAATAGCCCAACATGCAAAGAAGCTGTTTGGATTAAATTGTTTTGGTGAGATTGCCACTGGCCAGGTGTTTAAATAAGCACATTTTTTAAAAAAATTAAAGTCCCAAGGTTTCTTTAAAACAAAGTTTATCTGAGTTTTCTGCTACTTGATAAGCACAACTAATCTCTCTCTCTTACATTCCGGTAGGAAACTAGCATCAAGTTCAAAATAAGCCTGTTTATCCCCTCTCTTGATCTCCCCCTTTCTCACACACAAATCTTTCATAAAACAACATTAAAATAAAAGCCCCGAGCAGTTAGTGAATGTAGATTAATACAGTATTTGTTTCAATTCACGCCATCTGTCGTTTTTAGTACACTAAAATATCACAGAGAAAAACGTATGGCTGATAGCACTGTGTCTGTGTCATCAGAAGAGAGATCCATATAAAATAAGGGAAAACTACTGGGGGAAAAAAAAATCCATTTCTTCCCATTCCAAAAAGGATGCAGAGTAATTACAGAGACTCTAGCACAGAAAAAAAGACTTCTTTCAAAGAAGACTTGATACAGAAACAGGATTTAGACAGCTTTTCTACTTTGTAGAAATGTCTTAGTTTAACAGTTTAACAAATATCCCTAAAACCATCTTGCAAACTGAACAACAGATACTTTCCAGTTAAATATTACTACCTAGCTACATAAAACTCTCTTCTTTTTATACCTACCAACAGATGGCAGTACCTCAAAGTATTTTCTGCTGTATCTGTCAGATATTAAATTTAACAACCCAACAGTTTTCATGTGAGGAAAATATTTCTCCAGAGATACTGGTTGAAAAGAAAATCCAGACTGGTTGACATAAGAAACAACGTACAGTTCCACATACCTAAAACGTTGAGCCTGCTGAGCGAGGGGTCCTGGATACCTCCTATTTGGAGATTGGTACAGCTGGGAGAGGATGGCCTGATTTGTTTTTTGGCTTGGATTGTTGGCAAACTTTACGGTGATGGGTTCCGTGGCCCCGGGAGGTTTCTGCCCATTCAAACCCTTGATGGCTTCTTCAGCTTCAATCCGCTTGTCAAACCGGATAAACCCCACACCCCTTGAAACTCCTGAAAAAAAGCAGAAATGAATCCAGCAATTACTTCTAAGCATCAAAAGATCTCTAGGGGTTTTTCTTTCTTTTCAGGTATAAGTAAGCCAACAGAATCATAGAAAGCAAAGCACAAAAAATAAACCAGATTCGACAACCAAAGTGGATTTTTATAAGAAACAATATAAGATATAAAGCATTTGCGAATGAGGAGGAACACAAGAGATGGGAACCAACAGGTGGGTGAAACCACATCTATTTATAAGAGACACAGCAGAGTGAAACAAGGCATCAAAATACAGGCAAAAACGTTGTTATGCCCTCCCATGACCTCCAAGGTCCCTTCCAACTTTATTATTATTATTATGGATCATCGCATAGTCAGCCAGATATTCAGACTGGATTTGGCATTTTGTCTACCTATCGAGTCCTTACCCAGGACCTGGGATAGGCAGATGTGGATGTTTGATGGTATTACAGATATCGTCGCAGGATGGAAGCATTTCCTAGTAAGGCCGCCTTTTGCAATTGACTAATAGCGAATTTGTCAATGCCAATGGTGTTCAAGTGGTGCTCCAGTTGTTTTGGGATTGCACCCAAGGAGCCTATGACTATTGGTACTACCCTTGCTTGCTTTGCCACAGTCTTTCTATTTCTATTTGTAGGTCTTTGTATTTTGTTATCTTCTCCAGTTCTTTCTCGTCTATTCTGCTGTCTCCAGCCACTGCCACGTCCACTATCCAGACTTTTTTGTCTTTCTTATCGACAACTGTTAAGTCTGCAGGTGCTTGTCTGTTTGAATTCTGAAGTCCCAGAGCAGTTTAATTTTATCATTTTCTATGACTTCCTCTATTTTATGATCCCACCAGTTTTTGCTTCCAGGCAAATGATATTTTTTGCAGATCTTCCAATGCACCATTGTTGCTACTTTGTCATGCCGCTGCTTGTAGTCAGTTTGTGCAATCTTCTTGCAACAGCTTACCAGGTGGTCCACTGTTTCTTCAGCTTCTTTGCATAGGCGGCACTTACTGTCTGTTGCTGTCTTCTTAATTTTGACTTTATATGCATTTGTCCTTAAGGCTTGGTCTTGTGCAGCCAGAATTGGTCCCTCGTTCTCTTTCTTCAATTTTCCTGCTCTTGGCCATTGCCAGGTCTTGTTATTATCTGCTTTCCCAGCTATTTTTTTCATGTATTGGCCATGTAGTGCTTTGTCTTCCCATGCCTCTATTCTGTTCTTCATTTGGTCTTTCTTGTAGGCGAGTTTGGTCTCTCCAGTAATCAGTAAGCCTTCCTGATATACTAATTTCAGTGCATCTTCATCATTGTTCTTCAGATATTCTTCCAAAGCCATTTTTTTTTCTTCAACCATCTGATGTACTTGTAGCATTCCACGCCCACCTATTTGCCTTGGTAGATAAAGTCTGTCAATGTCACTGCGTGGATGAAGGGCATGATTCATTGTCATTATTTTTCTGGTCTTACTATCCATTGCTTTTAGTTCTGCTTGAGTGCAATCCACTATTCCGGCTGTGTACCTAATGACTGGAATTGCCCAGGTGTTGATTGCCTTTATGGTATTTCTTCCACTGAGTTTGGACTTTAAGATCTTCTTCATTCTCTTGATGTATTCACCTCTAATCTTTTTCTTGACTTCAGTGTGCTTGATGTTGTCAGCTTGAAGGATACCGAAGTATTTGTCGTAATCTTCCTCATCCAGACTCTTAATGTTATTTTCGTGGGGCTATTATTATTATTGATCATCGCACAGTCAGCCAGATGTTCAGACTGGATTTGGCATTTTGTCTACCTATCGAGTCCTTACCAGGACCTGGGATAGGCAGATGTGGATGTTTGATGGTATTACAGGTATCGTCGCAGGATGGAAGCAGTTCCTAATAAGGCCGCCTTTTGCAATTGACTAATAGCGAATTTGTCAATGCCAATTGTGTTCAAGTGGTGCTCCAGTTGTTTTGGGATATTATTATTATTATTATTATTATTATTATTATATTATTAAGCTTTTAAAAATAATGGCTTCTTACATGTGTGCATTTGATGATTATGACAACAATGGGTGATGCATCTGAGTCGGAATGAATCTGGCTGTTTGGTATTACATAATGCTAGATATTTTAATAATTACCATTAAGTTGAATTTATGCTGATAGTTCCTATTGTTCTTTACTATTTTTGACAAATTTTAATTATTTATTACAAGCTGCCTAGAATTGCCTGATTGAAACAGCAAAGAAACATCTATACTACCGCTGTAACAAATATAATATTTATTTGTTAATATTAAATCTGGTAATAAACATGGGTCAGGGTTTAGTGTAATATGACATATTCACATTAAGTTATTTATTTTAATTTAGAGTCCAAATAACTCTAGGAAGTTCACAAATAACTACATGAAAACCAACCAATGCAAACCAAAAACAAGATGGCATCCAGACACAAAATATAGACAAATAAAAATAACAAGGGGAGAACAACCAGGACTGCAAGGCTTTATGGAATGCGAACAGGCTTGGAGCCCAACATTTCAGGGGAATATCATTCCAAAGGATGGCTCCTACAACAGAGAAGGTGACTTCCTGAGTCTCAATAGCTGACATTGTTTAATTGAAGTGATCCAGTTCATGCCAACTCTGCCAGCATGTACCAGCCATACAGAAACCTTGAGAGTAGGCAGTCCCTTAAATAAACCTGGCCATATGCCATAAAGGGCTTTATAGGTAAATAACTGATACCTTTAATTGCAGCTAGAAGCAGACTGGTAACCAGTGCAGCTCATGGAATAGATATATCCTATAAGCATACTGAGGCATCACTTCACACATCACTGCATTCTGTGGTTGAAACTTCCAAGTGGTTTTCAAGGGTAGCCCATGCAGAGTGCACTGCAACTCAAGCCCTGAGGTGACTAGAGTTTGAGTGACCAAATGAAAAACCTCCTGAATTAGTGCACCATATGGAGATAAGCAAAGGCTCCCTTGGCTACAGATGCCACCTGCTCTTTGAGCAGGAGCTGCGAGTTCCACTAGGACCCTCAGACACCGTCCTTGATTGGAAAATGCTACTCCCATCCAAGAGTATGGATGAAAAGTCCTCCGACCCAGGAAGCTTTAACACAATCAGTAGAAGAGAATTCTTGTAGCAGATAGCAGGATGAGATATTTCTATTTTGCCATTCAATTTGCACAAGACATTTTACTACAGAAAAAAAAATCCATCAGGAAAATTAATGTTGTTGCAAACAACTATATGGAGACACACAGAACAGTGGGTTGAACTATATGTTCCTGTTGTATTTATTGTATATAACATGTTTAAATGTGTGTCATGTACGTGTACACTTTTGAGAGCAAACAACTAAATTTAATTTTAAATGACAATAAAGGTTATCTTATCTTATCTTATCTTATCTTATCTTATCTTATCTTACCTTACCCTCTCCTCTTACTTTGTGTAGCTATGCTTTAGAAGGAATTCTAATTTAATGAAAATTCCCTGAAATACTTCTTGAGTTCTCAGGAAAAAAAACCCTGGATACCATGTAATTAAAAAAAAAAAACCTATATACACGCACTTGTACCAAATATTGATCCAGATAAAAAGCCTATGGAAACGAAGATCAATGTATTGAAAACCAAGACATCTAGATATATTGTTGATTTGCATCTATGCTGTAAAATGGCAACTTCTCCCAAACCAGCAATAAACCTGAAGTGAGAGAACTGAAATGCAGTAAATAAATACACACATACATAATCAAAAGTGTAACTATAGGTGTATTTAAAATAATACAATTGTCAGTCCTGGAAAGCTTATGCTTTATAGTCATTGCTATTATTACCAGGGGAAAGACAGAGAAAATATTTAAACATCTAAGGGGGGGGGGGGAAGGAGAAAATATCTATTTTGATGACCACTTTAAAGTAGACTTTAAACAATTAACCTTATAACAACTACCTATAACAATCTGTCTTATGCTATCATCACATACTTGTGCCAGCCTGTCTCCTGCAGCAAAACACCTTTATTTCCAAGGTAAACAGATACTATCCTCAGAAGCCTGCAATCTCCAAACAACCAAATTTCTCTTTTTATTTCTCTGTCAAGGAATATGAAGGTTTGGATGTTTAATTTGGAATACAAGAAGGGAGCAAGGAAAAACAGATAGACCCACTTTTTTTTCCATACAAGGAGGATATGTGGCTTTTTCTATTCTTTTCTTGTTGCTTGTAAAGTGCTATTTGCTTTGTTCTGCTAACTTCTGATCTAATCTGGTGTTATTAGAGGAAACTATCCTTTATTAGATGGCATTTTGATCTAGTAACAGACCTTTTCATCTCTCCCTTGAAGTGATTATGATGAAGACAGCCTCCGAGAAACCCAGCACAGCAATCCTAGACTTCCTGATTTAGAAAATCAGTTCCTGCGTGAGATTTATTCCCACACATTACACACAAAATTTTATCCCCCCCAAAAAATAATACTTTGTGAAGTTACAATTCTATGTATATTTACCAGGGATCAATTCCACTGAATTCATTAGGATTTGGATAGAATTGTGCGATTAGATAGCTAAAAGGCATTATTCTGTTTATTTATGAATTATAACAAGTAGCAATTTTGTATTATGACAGAATTTATACTGCTCCGTTTAATTGAGAAATATTTACTACACTATGAAGTATTTTGCAAAAATTATTTTTTGTAAAAATGTCATTTCTTTCCCCAGAGCTTCAAAAGTTTGGAGATGTTTTTAAAGAGGCAGCTCATTTAAGTTCAGATAAATAGTTTTGAAATCTTGGCTGCAGCAACTTGTGATCCATTAATCACTTCTTTCTATCAACAGTGATGACTAAGAAAGAAATAATAAGATATAAGCAATATATATATGCAATATACTGTATATATATATATATATATATAAATGCATTATCATTCCCTAGGCTCTTGGTAAAATCTATTCCTTACAAGGGAAGCTCACAAATTCAACTTCTAATATATGAGGCAGGTTTAAGAAAATACTTATCTGAATCTATAGAAAAGAATATTTGTAGCTCAGGGTTGATGCATTTTGAGGTTGGTTGTTTTCTTGCAGACATTTCATTACCCAAACTAAGTAACATCATCAGTGCTCATCATCTGACAATGTTACCTAGTTTGACTAATGAAACATCTGCAAGAAAACAAGTTTAGAAAGCACCAAAAATTACTTATCTGAACCTGAACATCTGCCATTGGAACACAGGTATTTTTAGTGGGAGCAGAATTTGATTTGAAATTTAAAAATATAGTTGATAGGTATACTCTTTACAAATTTAATAATTGTCCATTTGCTTAAGCAAGTTTGCTTAAAAGCATGGTGGTACAATTCCAGTAAATACCACATTAACTCACATGTTCCAGAAATTCCAGATTGCAAATCTGAACTCTAAAATTATTGTATTTCAAATTTTAGCTTTTCATCTAAATTTCCTTTTTAAAAAAACTGTCTGTGTAGCTCAATTTTCTCAACTATTGTTTTTAGTTACTTACATACATTGTACATTATAAACAAACTGAATTTTATCTCTAGAAACTCTTGAAGCTCCTTTGGTTATAACTTTACATTTGAAGAACATTTGGCGATATATGCTCAGGTTTGCAACTAGGATAAATTTTGCTTAGGTTGGTTTTAAGGGAGAATTTAAGCAAGTGTCTTGATGCATAAGACTTTGCAAAATCCAATAAGCATACATGCAAGCAGCACATAGTACTTTGCTCACAATTCAAAAGCTGTTTAAAAAACCCCCAGTGGTTGATTTAACCCTATCAATTCAATGCCAAAAAGAAAAATAAATATTAAAATAAAAATCTAATTATACAATAATAGAAAACCTTGTTTTTTGAGAAGCAGATTTGTTTCATCATTCTTGTGGGAAACAAAATGTCACATGCTATTTTTGCACTAAATGGGACCCAAGTGTTATTGTAAAATCTCCTTATTTTATTAAAACAAGTCATACATGTACCCTTTTTTTGCTTGAAAGTTATTTCAAACTTTTGAAGGAACCCAATCAGATTGTTAAAATATAAGTTCGTACACAATCCTAATGAATATTTTCCTAATATTTTCTAATATCTATGAAAATAAAGCACTCAAATTCTTGTAGGGAGTATGTTCCATAGTATAATCTGCCCAGTGCATTGCATTGCTTCATTTATATCACATACAGAAAGATAACAAAACCAATGTATTCACTGAGCTGGCAATAACTGGAGAACAAAGATTGAATTTAATTAAAAAATGAACTCCTCAATATTTATGTATCAAATCAATCTTCCTTTTTTTAAATCCAGTGGTTTTTTTTTCTCATTATCCTAAGATGGAAAAATTAAATTGTAAGGTTTGTTTTGAAGCCTCAATAATTATGAGTTTGTATTTCACATTTTCTTCGTTTAAGGAAACTGCTAAGAAGTACAAGGCTTTACTTTTTTTTTCTTTTAAAATATACACTTTTTTTAACATTTTATAAGGAATATTTTCATTCAATGCTCGAAATTACAGCAACTATAAATTTATTACAAGGCATGAAACAGGCTTCAAATATGCAGCTTCAAGGTGGAAATGACTCAGCCTTGCCTGACTTCAAACCAGGAGTTATTTTTATCCATGCATATTTATGAACAATTCCAGCAGAAAATTGTATTTTCTGTCCCATATAAACTTTTTTATGTTCAATATTTTGAAGCCTGAGAAAGACAGAGCAGAGCAGCTTTCTACTTACCAGTGACTTGGTCAACAAGAATGCGGGAAGTAATAATACGTCCATATTGGGAAAACAGCTGTTCTAGTTCTTTCTGAGTCATAGTTTTGGGGAGACCGCTGACGTACAAGTTTGCATCTCTAATAGAAGCTGAGCTTGGCCGTGCATAAGAAACCTGCATAATAATAAAAAAAAACCTTGATCATGCAAATGACCGTATAATTGGACTAGAAGGTTGCTTACTTCTAAAAACACATGTGTAACTCTACTTTCAGATCATACATCCTTGGCCATTTGTATAGGAACCTAATGGGATTATATTAAACCACAAGGAGACCCAATTTGTTTGGGATCAGCACACTCTCTGTGGCTATTCTTCTTAGTTGCCCTCGAGCAGGGATGGGGAACTATGGCTCTTTTATGACTTGTGGACCTCAACTCCCAGAATTCCTGAGCCAGGACTTCTGGGAGTTGAAGTCCACAAGTCATAAAAGGACCGTGGTTCATCACCCTTGCTCTAGAGTTTCCTAGGGAAGTAAAAAAGGCAAAAGTGGACAAGGAATTTACCAAGCCACACATTAATGGTGGTACCAAATCCTACTGTGCCCCTGCAGGTTTTTTTTTTTTTTACCCTTTACCAAAAGTTAAAAACCAGGAAGTGAGAAGACAAATACAACCCTTGGACTTGGTAATGGCAGCAGAGAGGGCTAAAAAAAACTGATAACAAATATTCAGGATTATATCATCTAGAACAGGGATGTCAAACTCGCAATGTCACTTCACATGTCGCGATGTATTGCAACTTTTTTTCCATTGCCGGCAACGGGGTGAGCGGTTTCAGCATCTGGCCCATGGGCTGGCAGTTTGACACCCCTAATTTAGAATGTATTAATGCTCTTCAAATGTATATTGGCAATATGAACAACATCAAGGGACATTTATCATGCTTGATAAATAGATAAAAAGGTGAAAATTTTTGGATCCCAATATATACTTTGATATACAGAATTTTAAATATTAAATATTCAGTTGAAGGCAGAGCTTTATGATTAATGGACAAACAGTTAGAAAAAAAAGCTACGGAAGACTATTTCAATATATGATGCAGCCACTAAGGAGGAATAGTTGGTGAAGTTGACAGATTTTGCTGAAAAGGATAAATTAATTTATTTGATTAGAGAAAATCTACATTTTTATGTAGAGATTATCTACATTTATTGGTGAATGGAAGCCTCTTATGGACTTCTTGCATAAAAATGAAAAAAAAAACAAACTTGTGACTTAGGGTTTTGGCAATTAGAACAAGATAGATTGTAGAAAGAATAATATAAGGTAACTTTAAAAAGAGAGGTTAAAATATTTTGTATTTATAACTGCTGTGAAGAATACTGAAAGTTACCTCTTTATACCCTTTTCTTTCTTTTCTATTTTTTTTACCTTTTTTCTTTTCTCACATTTTTTGCTTTTACTTTTTCCCTGTTTACTACCTGTTACTTTGGATTTTATCTACCTGTTTAAAAGTCTTTTCTTTTTTAAAAAAAGGACAAAGAATGGAGAGACAGGGAAGCAGTGCAGCATACAGTAATATTTCAATTTGTTTTGTCATGTGCCACGCTGTCAGATCCCACCATAACTCCATTGCATAACCCCTTCCTTTACCTGCTGGTGTTCTGATGCTGCTACTGAGCAAGGCTAGGGTAATGATGTCATTGCATGCGCTCATATGCCATAAACGTCTTATTCCTTGCTTGCCAGGAAAAACAAAACAAAACCCCACCCCAGCCAGTTGGTTTTTTTCCTCATAATTGCCAATTACCAACAAATAGCAGATTATTTTTATTGGCAAGGAATAATTAAGGCATCTATTTTTGTTTCCTTCTACTTGGATTTTAAAAAAAAAGAATTCAGGAAATGAAGTTATGTCAATTGATTTCACTGGCTATACTGTGGATACCCTACTGATAAAACTACTATTAAGATATCATTAATTTCTGTCTTGTTATGAGTGAAGCTCAGGAAGCCAAAAATATTTTGTGTTTTAAGCTGAAAACTGAAGTATAAACATATTTCAGGAAAGCTGTAGTCCCCTGCCCCCTTATTTGCACTTTTCAATTATTATATTAGAGAACGTTGGCAGGAAAATTACATGTATATATGACAAATGCAAAAATATAAATAAGTGCTACCCCGTGTGTTAGCAATTGCATAAAATGTTCAATAGTTATTAATAAAAAGGGTGACTTTATTTAGAGAAGTTATTTCACACAGTTTAGAATACATTTTTTGAAAGTTAAAAAAGTGTAACCTAAACTTTGTGAAATTAGTGCCAGCTTGCAAAAAGGTGCTGTAACTAATAATCAATGTTACAGCACAATGGTTATGATAAACAGTAAACATAAGCAAATATATAAAACTGTTTTATCATACATTTTTCTTTGTAGGTCAGATTAACATTTTTAAACGTATTGCTTTTCAAATAAGGAGTTGCACTGACTTTTAGAAGTCCTTTGAGATTTTTATTGGTAAGATTTGATAAGATATCTTTTCAGTTATTTTAATCCAATTGAAATACATAATCCTTTTCACTGAAACCCTAATTTCAATTTAGAAGTACAGCCTGGAATTCCTTACGTTGTCTTAAAAGAGTCTTACTTCATCAAAATTTCATTTACAAAGTTATACAATACACTTAACATGCTTCGTTAAGACACACTAAATTGTCTAAAGAACATTATTTGCTTTGCAAAATTGCTTGGCACAATGCCAGCTAATTATTTTCCAAACAAATTGGTACTTTGGAGCCCTGGTGCACAAACACTTTTCACGAACTCAAAAAGATATTCTGGGGCTCTAAGTCAGAGCCCCAAATACAAAAGTATTTCAAAGAAGAACCACTGACCAAAATAGCATACTGTCTCTTGAGTATAAGGAGCCCTAAATAGGAAGCAGGTAGAAATTGTAGAAATTTCATTTTAGAAATTCATTCTGTGTGAATTCTGTAGCTATGTGGCCCAGTGGTTAGAATGCAGTATTACAGGCTAACTCTGCTGACTGTTAGCAGTTCAATCCTCACTGGCTCAAGGTTGTCTCAGCCTTCCATCCTTCTAAGGTCGATAAAACGAGGGGCCAGATTGTTGGGGGAAATATGCTGACTCTGCAAACCTCTTAGAGAGAGCTGTAAAGCACTATGAAGTGGAATATTAGTCTAAGTGTTATTGCAAGTGCTATTTTTATTTTACATTTTTAGACTTAATTACGAACTGAAATTTATTTACCAAAAATGTATACATTTTTGAAATTTCAATATTCAGAAATGGAAAAGATGAATTGGGGTTGGTCAGTACAGAAATCCGTATACCCATGAAAATAGTATTTGCAGAAACTGTGCCTAAAAAAAAAAATGCAAAATGTGCACCATAATGACCCAGTGTGAATTCAATTAATTCTTAAAAGATCAACCAATCTTATCTATCTCAAAACTGACTATGCTGAAACTGCTTAGGTCTGTTTACTCATAGCCTTGGGAGAGTCACAACACTATTCACAGGAAGTGATAAAAATCAATAATGAATCTGCCCTAAGTGCATCAGAAAAAGATATAAGTAAAAAATAACATATTTTTGAGAACATCTCTTCTATAAAAAAATGTTGCTTTTGAATGTTGGGGTAGGAGTCCCCTAAAAGAAAAAGGGAACAGCTGAGCTCTTGATAGCCAAATTAGTTTTATGGGTGTCCCTGCCTCAGTCCCGCATTTCAATATGTTGTCTTCCATTCTAACTAATCAATATCTGTTTGTGAAAGAAATATATTCCATTATATGCAGGTTACATAGCATCCAAGAAACAGAACAATTTATAATTTAATAATATTTAAAGTTCAACATCGTGTCATCATTTCAGAATTGCCAATTTAACGGCTTATTTTTAAAAATTGGTTTCATAATTTTGTTTGTTTGAAAACACATTTACACATAATCATAAATTGTTTCTATTTGAAAAATACACATCCTCCAATAAGATGTAATCGCCTTTGCACATTTCACTACACAAAATCTGAGTACATTTTGTGAAATAAGACTAATGCCACTGCATAAATAAATTTCAGTTATTAAAACAACATTCTGTTTGGCAGTTTCGATTTCTTTGTGGATTAACCAATATGCTATTGATCAGAAAATTTTCAATGAAAACTGAAAACCGTATGGATTCACACAAATACGTTTAATTGACTAGAAAATGTCCTGTTTGACATTTTTTTTGGAGGGGGGGAGAATCCACATTACTATTTATTTAAAAAAGAATCTATGTTAGAATAAGGATAGGATCCAGTCTGGATTGGTCACTGAGACCAGGTGTTTTGTCTTACAAGCTGGAGGATAATGTTGCAGGATCTAATCTGAGTTGGTCACCAGCGACTGTTGTAAGTCACTTTTTAAATGTTGACTGCGGTGTAAATACCACACATGGAACAATACACAGTCTGCTAGAGAGAAGTTCCCTGAAAATGGGTCCAGCACGAGTCCGAAAGCTCGGAAGACAAAATCTCTAGTCCTTGGGACCAACCCAGATTAAATCCTGCAACATTATCCTGGGATACATATATTTGCCTTCATTCATGAGAATAAGGATAATTGGATATAGATTTGAGTTTGTTTTAAACCAAATATATTATAAGTAAGTATGAAGACTTAAGTTTCATACTCACAACCAGCCATGTTTATGGAGATTCTCAGTCATGCAGGTCATGGTTATCAGAACTGAAGAAGCTTCTTTGATGAGAAGCAAAACATTTTCAAAAAAATGTTCAAAAAAACTAAGTCCAGTGCCTTTTGAAAAGCACCCTTGGGACACAATGTAATAGCCACGATGTAATTCCCAAGGTCAAAGTTGGGAAACTTTGCCTTTATGCATATTCTTACCTTTGAATTGGTTTGGTTGCTAAATTGGAAACATTTCCCCAAAATATAGAAATCATGGCACCTATTCATAATTAATAATATTAAGCCTAGAAATTAGCCAAAGCACCAATTGTCTGGCTTCATCTATGTAAAATTTCTGTTCACTTACTTGAGTTGTGAGCTTGGGTGAACGTGAACAAGAAGTTGGGATATAGGCTTTACCAATTTTAAATTTCCCCCAAAGATAAGCTGCCAGTGTAATATTCTCTATCTTAGTA